GCGACACAGTGAGACTCCGACTCAAAAAAAAAAAAAAAAAGAAATAAGCCAGGCCTAAAAGAGTCAGGCTGTATATGTCTGAAACTATGCAAATCACTCCTCCAGAACAACACAGCTCTGTTTAAGCAGCAATAAATAAAATCAAACTACCCTGCTTTCTCTTTCTCTTTTTTCCATAGGTTTACTTATCTCTATTTTTTTCCTTTCTTCATTGTCACTGAACATTTACTCTATGAAAAATCACTGACGGGAATACAAGAGGAATCCAGCTATTCTGGAATATATTACTGGTGTAACACATACTAAAGTGGCAAATGAATGCTATAAATAGCTGGAATTATGAAACATCAAGGGGATGGAAATTACCCTTCCACTCTGCTTTCTATTCTTATTCCTCCATGAATTTAACAAAAACAATACATCAGCATTTGCACTTAAATGCTGCAAAATAAAGAAACAAAAACTACACACATACTAGGACAAATTTTAAGACACACCAAGGCCAGTCATGGTGACTCACATCTGTAATCCCTACCACTTTGGGAGGCTGAGGCTAGAGGACTGCTGGAGCACGTAAGAGTTCAACACCAGCCTAGGCAACATAACAAGACCTTACTGCTACAAAAAATTAAAAACTTTGTGGTATGGTGCACATGCCTGTGGTCCCAGCTACTCAGGAGGCTGAGGTGAGCTATGAACATGCCACTACACTCCGGTCTAAGTGACAGAGTGAGATCCTCCTACTCAAAAATAAAAATAAAAAAATGAAAAGACTCACCAAGATTTTAACTCACATTTCTGGGCGACATAACAAATAATTCCTTTGTGCTTTTCTAAATTTTCCAAATCTTCTAAGATGAATACACAAGACATGCACCACATGAAAAGTTACCATATTTAACAAGATTAAAGGAGGAAAAGGCTGGTCTGAGTACAAGGGTATTTATAATTGATCACAGCCTGGCCATGTTTCCTGGCTTTGAACCCTTCTCCCACCTTGGGGAGGTAAATCTCCTCTTTCTCTAATGTACTTTCTAAATAAACTTTATTTTCCTTTTTTTTTTGAGTTGGAGTCTCACTCTGTCGCCCAGGCTGGAGTGCAATGGCTCGCTTCCAGGCACCGCAGCCTCAGGTGATCCTTCTGCCTGGGCTCAGGTGATCCTTTCGCTTCAGGCTTCTAAGCAGCCAGAACTACAAGTGCATGCTAGCACACCCCGCTAATTTTTTAATTTACTGTAGAGACGAGGTCTCACCATGCTGCCCAGGCTGGCCTCGAACCTGCGGTCTCAGGTAATCCTCTCACCTCGGCCTCCTAACGTGCTGGGATTATAGGCTTCAGCTACCACACCTGGTCGATATTTGGCTTATAATGGAATTTTGGACATTGAAGAACTTGTTTTATGACAAAAAAATCAATTTTATATATTTTTCTAATGTGTGGTAACGTGTGAAACAGTCACCAACATGTATTACAGGCTCATTGATACATGTTGTGCAATTTTAATTTGTTTGACAACTTCCACCTGGTATTTTTCTATTTGAGCAGACAATGCAGTATCATTTTCTTCCTCCCACATTAGTAATATGTAATTTATTGCCCAGTTGGTACACCACTGTGAAAGTACTTCACACATTCTCTTTCTATGTAATGCCAGTTGGTTCTTTTTTACATATATCTCAGTATATATTCCATCTATTTATTTGCTTTTTAATGCAATTTGAATGGAAAACTATGGAAATATACATTTTTGAAAAATTTATGCTGGCATAAGTTTGTCCTGTATAATCACCAGCAATCTCTTTATGTCCTGCGAGGGGACATCCAAGTGCAAAAGGTTAAAACATAACTATTAACCAAAGTCCATATTTAATTTAGATTTCCTTAGGTTTTGTTCTTTTTCTGTTCCAGAATACATTTAATTGTCATGTCTCCACAGGCTTCTCTTGGTAGTGAGTTACCTGATGCAATCCTCCTGCCTCAACCTCTTGAGTAGCTGGAAAAACAGACAAGTGCCTCCACACCCAGCTGGTTTTTCTTTTTTTTTTTTGAGTTGGAGTCTGTCACCCAGGCTGGAGTGCTCACAGCCACCACAGTCTTGACCTTGTTGGGCTCAGGTGATTCTTCTGCCTCAGCCTTCCAAGTAGCTGAGACTACATGTATGCACCACCACGCCTGGATAATTTTTTGATTTATTGCAGAGATGAGGTCTCGCCAAGTCGCCCAGGCAGGTCTCGAACCTGTGAGCTCAAGCAATCCTCTCACCTTGGCCTCCTAAAGTGCTGGGATTATAGGCGTGAGCCACTGCACCTGGCGATTTTTCTATTTTTTTTTTTTTTGGTAAAGATGAGGTCTCGCTTTGTTGTCCAGGCTAGTCTCGAAGTCCTGGTCTTAAACGACCCTCTTGTCTGCAGCCTCCCAAAGTGCTGGGATTACAGGCATGAGCCACCATGCCCCACCCGATTGCTTTTTTTAACTCCTTGAAAATGTGTAAGGTGATAGAAGCAGCCTCTCAAAACACAAGTGAAAACCTATATGGCATCTACAAATACCAGAGGTTCAAGGCTTGGTGTGTACTTTTTTTTTTTTTTAAGTTAGAGTCTCACTCCTTCGCCCAGGCTGGAGTGCAGTGGCATGCATGCTCACGGCCACCCCAGCGTAGACCTGTTGGGCTTCAGCAATCCTTTTGCCTCAGCCTTCCGAGTAGCTGGAACTACAGGTGTGCGCTACCATACCCACTATTTTTTATTTTATTGTAGAGATGAGGTCTCGCCAAGTTGCCCCAGCTGGTCTCAAACCCATGGGCTCAGGCAATCCACTTGTCTCGGCCTCCCAAAGTGCTGGGATTACAGGTTGAGCCACCGAGCCCGGCCAGTGTGTACCTTAATAATACCACTTATATTTCTTGAACAACATAGTAACCAAGAAAACACTGGAAAATTAGGTACTATTTACTTTCCAGGGTGTACAATTATTACAAAGGGGAAAAAAAAGGAAAAAGATATACCATCACTTTAATCTTCAGGGCCTCAATTTCCTCAGCTAGCAAATGGGGGATAATAACAGCACTAACCTCTTCCACTGCTGTGAGAATTAAATAATGCTGTAAAACACTTAGAAGAGTACCTGACAAACAGTAAGCACTCAATAAATGAAAAAAGTACAACGAATATAATTTTTTCAAAAGTACAACGAATATAATTTTTTCAGATTTTTGCACTGACCTCTGCACAATGTCCAAAAGCTAACCTTGGATAAGAGCTCAATCAGCTTGATCAGTTTCTCTCAAAAAACCCTAGTCTTTCAGAACACATTCTCTTCAGCTTTATGATATCTCAGAAGCTACCATTCCCAACTCTTACAAACCTGACTCTCACAAATTGTTTTCCTCCTGGAGAAGGAAAAAAATTCACCGATCATCTGAAGGACAGAGCTAAGTTTTCTTCTTTATTTAAAATTTTTAAAGATGTGGGGTGCAATTCAGGATAAAGAATACAAATGGTCATTGTACAGTTAAAATTTGGGCCTCACTTTGGTCCCTACTTCACCTGATTTGAGATCAAGTACTCCTACTGATGAAGTGTGCCCATATCCCCCACACCCCGCCTGCTGCAGTTTCCCACTACTGCCAATCCCTTTCTTACAGTATTACGATAACTGTTCAGGGTCCGCTTATGAGTGAGAACATGTATTCAGTTCTTTGTTTCTGTGATAGATCACTGAGTATACACATTTTCAAATGGATACAATTCAAGTTAACTTTCCAAACAAATCATAAATCAAGAAGAACCTAAAGGGACATTAGCTTGTGGCAAGCTGCTAGACAAAATAAAATCATTAATTGGTATAATATAAAAAGGAAAAACATAGCTCCATCTTCAAATAAACAGAAAAGAATAGTCTTCAGTACAAATGAAAAAATTCTGCTCACCTCCCAATTGTGGAGCCCTGGTTTTAATAGCTGTCAAACTTCCTCGTAGTCTGTGGTTTACTCCCTATAACAAAAGGAAGCATCTAAAAATATAATACACCGGAAATGTAATAATTTCTAACCCACTGATGGGCCCACCAGTAATATAATAATACTACCAAACCCAAGTCCTCCCCTCCTTCTTTCTTTTTGAGTTTGGGACTCACTCTCTTGCCCAGGCTAGATATAGTGGCATGATTATGACTCATCGCAATCTTGACCTCTTGGGCTCAGACAAACCTTCTGCATGAGTCTCCCAAGCAGCAGGGACTACAGGTGCAGGCCACCTTGCCTGGCTAATTTTTTGATTACTTGTAGAGATGAGGTCTCACTATATTGCCTGGAGGGTCTTGAACTCCTGAGCTCAAGCAATCCTCCAACCTTGTCCTCCCAAAGTGTGAACACTGCATCTAGCCCCCAAGTTTAAAGTAATGATAAAATAAGACCATTCACCTACTTACCACTGGAGAATTTCGAAAACCTTTGATTGCTTGAAAGATACCACCACCAATGGTTCCCATTGTAAAGGCCCCACCACAGTCATCCACAATTCGCCAGGGGCTAAGATCAGGGGGAAAAAAGATGACCAGTATTTTATTCATAAACCACAAAACTTTCTTTGCTAACACCGTGAGATGCAACAGATTCCATTTCAGGGCCCACTGCAATCAATAAACATTTGGCCTTATAAAATGACTTGAGAAAATGCTATATCCAAAAATGGTAGTCAGAAACTCAAAGCAGTTTTAACTACAAAACTAACCAGATAACTGTTGTATTGCTTCAGGACGTAAGTATTAAGACAAAGCAAAGAGGCTACCTAATGATTAAATACTTTATCTCCCTGCTAACCTGTGTCATTTTACCATAGGAAACATCAACTTACGGTGTGCTGAGTCCTGCATAGATGAGCACAATTCAATAAGGGGGCTAACTACCTTTGAAGAAGGTAAGTTTGAAGAGCCAGGGATGCTGAAACTATATCCTGTATGCCACTGGGAAGAGGAGGGGAGCACAAAGCAGGCACCAGGGCTAAGCACAGCAAATTAATAACTTAAAGTCCTGTGGACTTCAACAACTGAAGACACTTGGCTCTTGGTCTTACAAAATAAAACAGGTAACTGACCCAAATATAAAGATTTGATTTTTCACTTATGACCTCAGAAACTTTAAACTCAGACAACCTGGGGCTTCTCTCTGACAGCAATTACATTGTTTTACAATTACTTATTCTTGTGTCTGATTTATTTATGCTTTTATTCCTTGAAACTAACCAAGGGCTAGCACAGAGCCCTCGCTCAATAAATGCTGAATGAAAGAATGAATTTCTGTTCATGGCTTTTCAGAGAACACATGTTACTATCTCTTCCTATTCTTGCCCCCCTCCTCCTCCAAGAGAGAATTCCAGGAAAGAAAACAAGATTCCAGCCTAATGGAGCTTACCCAGGCCCCTTGGGTAAAATTTATGTTCCGGTCATTTGAAATGCTTAATCCTGCGTACAGACAGCATGATCCAAGTAAGGCCTCAAGAATGGAACTCCCTCAGAAGCCTATCTTCCTTTTCTCAGAGCCGGAACCGAGTTAAGGCGTAGGGCCGCGCCCAAGGTCACCTCGGCTGGTAGAGGGGGTTATAACTGACCCGGCGCAAGGCTGATTGGCCCTGAGTTGGCAGGAGGTTCCAAGGCACCATCAGATCCAAACCCGGATCTCCTCACCATCCATTTTAAGGTCACAGGGGTGCTGGGTTGGCAGTGATGGGGGTTACAGGGTACGGACCGACTGGCCGCTCAAGTCCGCCCTGTCCACGGTTACTAGGCCCAAGTGGACGTGGCTGAGGCTGAGTTTGGCTTGCACCTTGGGAGCCTGGACAGAGAAGAACGAGGGCCGTGGGCAGAGGAGCAAAAGAAAGGCAAAGACAGCGGACGGGACTCACCAAGGCTCTCGAGCGTACTCCTCCATCTTGACTCCGGCGGCGCGAACGATGCCGGGCAAGCTGGGCGGAGCCTGACCCCTGCGGCGGAAGTGATCCCGAAAGGAGGGCCTTAAGGTCTACGAGGATTGGCTTATCGTATCCCGCAGCAGCCAATGGGATCCGAGACTCCTCGGCGTGTGCGTGGCGGGGCGGGCCCCACCCAGGGCCTCGAAGGCTTCCGGTTTGGGCTGTGTGGGAGGGGTACTACAAAAGATCTAGAGTTCAGATTACCCTGCCGCGGAAGGTTCCGTGGCCTGAGATAGTCCTGATATTGTTCCTCTAGGGTTTATTAAGCTTCCTAAATACTTTTTTTTTTGAGTTGGAGTCTTACTCTGTCACTTAGGCTGGAGTACAGTGGCACGCTCATGGCTATCACCACCTCGACCTGCGGTGCTCCCCTGATCCTTCCCCTTCAACCTCCGAAGTAGCTGGAATCACAGGCTCACGCCACCACGCCCGGCTAATTTTTTTATTTATTGTAGCGACGAGGTCTCACCAAGTTTCCCAGGCTGATCTCGAGCCCCTGGGCTCAGGCAATCCTCTCGCCTTTGCCTCCAGAGCTGGGATTACAGGCATGAACCACCGTGCCCGGCTATTTTTTTTGTTTTGTTTTTAGTGATTTTGCTGTCACCTGTGAATTAATGCTATCCTAATTCGTCGTTATTATGAAGCTGTGAAACTACATGTCGCTCCTGTTGGACATAGGATGCTCAGACCTGTATAATCATCACAGCGCCTGGAATGTAGAACATTACATGTTTATGAGATGGGACTATTGGGCCATCTGGAGTGTCATGGCCAATTTGTAGTTCGTAATTTTAGGGACATTGACCCCAGAGCCTCTTACACTCACTAATGATCACCAGAAGATGTGAGGGATGTCTAGCTCTGAGAAGAGGAGACTGAAAGGGTAGGACCTATAGGAACTTTTAGCGTGCAATCAACAAAACCCCATCATATGATGAGGTGCGTCTCTCCATTCTCTACGTTTGCAATTAACTTGTTAACTTAATTTGTTTTATGGAAAAGTCAGCATAATAAATCATGGGAGACTACAAAGAAGAGTGAGATTCCCTCTGCAGGCTTGGAAATAAGATAGCAGATGAATTGAACCTCCTATAGAACTAACAATGATCAGTAAGTGTGTCTTGTATGTGAGAACAGTTCAAACTAGTCATCTGATTTTGATGGAAACTACATCATGTGATTGTAATTAAGAACACTTAAACCTGATTATTTTTACAGGTTGAAAACAGAATGTGGAAGGGGGTAACGTGGAGCCTAGAAGGTGGAACTCAGCAAGAATCTGATGTTTAGTCAGCACTCCAGACTTGATGGGCATAAATATTTCACTAGAGATTTGCACTCTCATGGACAGAGATATTTTTTCTGGTCTCACCAGGACCCAGATGAAATATCCCTTAGCTCTAACTATCTCCCTTTGCTCTTGTTTCAATTAATTATGCAATCTTCTGATTATTGACTTCTGAATAGATTTCCATGTGGAAGAGAATACCTTGGGCTGTGCTTATAACTATTCTTGTCTACTTGGTAGTTAATACTGGTTTATGCATCTACCTCTTATGAGATGGGTTCTTTTGACTCAGTCACAAGGAAGAGTCAAGGTTCTCCAGGGATATAGCGTGCGTGCGCATGCACACACACATGAATATATGGAGATTTATAGCCAGACACGATGGCTCACGCCTGTAATCCCAGCACTTTGGGAGGCCGAGGCAAGAGGATGACCTGAGACCAGGAATTCAAGTCCAGCCTGGGCAACTTGGCGAGACCTCATCTCTACAATAAATCAAAAAAATTAACTGGGCATTATGGCGATTGCCTGTGATTCCAGCTACTTGGAAGGCTGAGATGGAAGTATCACCTGAGCCCACTAGGTTGAGGCTGCAGTAGCCGTGAGCATACTACTGCACTCCAGCCTGGGTGACAGAGTGAGACTCCGACTCAAAAAAAAAAGAGAT